TATTTTATTACTTGAAAAATATTGTATGTTTTATATTATAAAGTAATTAATTTATTCTTTTGTTTTTATATTTTGTTAATTCTTTTTTATAAATATTTTATTTGAAATATTAAATAGAAATTATTAATGGAATAATTTATATTAATATACTGTATTATAATAATATAGTATACTAATATATTATATTATTAATGTACATTAGTTGACATCCTGTCGACATTATCGACATCTTGTCGACATTATTGACATCCTGTCGACATAATAGGAAAAACTGTCTTTTTTTTGGTTATTTGGACCAATTTGGTCAACATAGGAAATGTTGACCGAAATAATGTAATTTTTATATTACCATCCATTTTCATGTTGGTGAGCCTCGACATCGACATATGTCGGGCGACATTAGCGACATTTGAAACCATGCTCCTCCCTCCCCTAGCACTGAACTCCTTATCCCCTTCCACGTCACTAATGAGTTTTTCAAATTCATTTAGCTTCCTTCTCTTTTCTCCCTTTTCTTTACTTTGTTTAGAAGTTTCCCTTTAATTTTTTCCACTTTCAACCCCATTTTATCAGCCAAGTCCACCACCGGGTCCCTTGCACTCTGATCTTCTTGACTTCTTTTACTTTCTCCCGCCTCCTTCTTTTCTTTCTTCCCCTTAACTAAAACCCTCCCAACCTCCTCATCTCTCGATTCTTCTTGGGATTGAATCCTTTTGGTGATTTCTTTTTCCCCATCTGTACCCAACCCCCTATCAGTCACCGCTCCTTCCTTAGTCTTTTGCATTCTTTCACCCCTAACCTCAGACACACCCACCCTCCTTTCTCACCAATTGTCTCTCTCTCACCAACTTCACCTCCTAATCCTCTACTCGTCTCTCCTTCTGCCGGCAGATTCATGGGCAAATCATAGCCAAGGATGGGAGCTGAAGAATCTGTAGGACCATTAAAACACAGATTAGCATAAAAAACTAAACCAACAGAGTTGCCGAGGTTACCAGTGAAAGGCTGAGAAGTAGATACGACAGGAGTTTTAGTAACAAAAGCTTCGGTACCCTATTCCTTTTGGTGCCTCTCCAAACCCCGAACTTCAGTTCTAAATTAAATGGGAAGGCTTCGAAGGAGTATTTGACTTGGCCAACTCAATACTTGAACCCCTGCCCAAAATATCCTTTGTAACCTCCTGGTTCCCCTGCTGAAACACCAACTTGTCATCTTGCTCTTGTCTCTCGCCTGGAATGAGATCCTTACCCCCTTGGATACCTCTATTCCCCTCCTGACAATTTGGAAGTTCCTTCAAGCCACTATCCAGTATCAGCCGCAGATCACCATCTCTGTTCTTAGTTGAATGAGAAACGTCTCCACCATGTGAACTCCTCTTGTTAGCTACGGCCTCCTTTCCATCAAAAAGGGAGACAATGCGAAAGTCATCATCACTCTCCACGCTGACCTGAACTGTGTCTCCAAAATTTTTGATGCTAGAATTGTCTTTAGAGGGGAAGCCATCGTCGGAGTCTTTACAGTCGACCCATTGATCATCTTTGTCGTCATCCTTCCAGTCCGTCTTAGTCCTATCATAGTGAGGATTAGGCCTGTTACAATTTACCCACTGCATCTGTGAAGATTTCGTGCCTGTATGACTGTCTTGGGTCAATGGGGACGGTGATAGAGTGTGATTACTGTTCCCCAACACCTTACTAAAGCCCCTGCACGTGCCATTTAAGTCATCATGTGGGTGGGAATTGGTTTCTGGTTCGACTCGCCAGTTCGGCCCAGGTTCAGCCTATGGCGCCCCTTTTGACCCCGTTTTTTAACACTTCCACGTAGGTTGGTTTACGCTTCAGGTCGACCGACCGGTGAAATTCGAAAAAAATTGAATAACCCATTTTTAATGGCAAGTTGGAGCCAAGCGGCCTATTGTTCGACGGTCCACCTTTTAAAACAGGGCTGACAGAGAGCAACTGGTCTTCCAAAGCTTCATGTCCACCTGGCAGCCTTCTGGACACGTCACCATCGCCTCCTTCCTCCTTACCTTTTTCCCACAACAACGTTCCAACTTCCAGCGCCAACCAGACTCTCTGCCACCGCCCGTTGGAGAGGATCTCGACTGATCTTGAGACCTGCTGCGGATTAGAACCCTTCACCTTGATTTTTGCCGCTTGAAGAGAAGACAAGTTCACTGCTACAAGCGACCCTCCACATAGTACTGCCACTTGGGAGAAAATCTCCTGCGTCCATAGATTGAATGGAAGCCCAACCAGCTTTATTTGGAGAGACTCCGCCTCCTCCAACTCAAACTTGTTGCAGGATGGGTTCCAGTTCTGCAACAAGGCCCAACCCTCCAGTGTCTATTCTTGTTGTGACCTCGAGAGAGTGACCAAAATCCAGAATAGCTGCCGTGTTCTCAAACGGGATCAGGAACGCTTGTTCTATCAACGGAAGCGTCTTCATGACATCAACTAAAACTCCATTCCAGTCTACTACCTCTTCGAGTCTTATTACCTTTTTTTTTTTCCAGTCCTCCAAAGTTCCATCTATTACCATCTTTGGACACACAACGGCTCTACTTACACCTTTGTTCTTTTCTTTCTCCTCCTCTTCAATCTGTGATATTGCTAGGCTCTTATCTGCTGCAATTTCCTGTGCTGACGTTTCCTGTACTTGGGTAGGGATGCTTGTTTATCTTTCCAATCTCCATCTCCTCTGTTCGAAATCATCTAGAGCTCCTGCAAACAGAATCCAACCTTGCTTCCTTTTCACTTCTGGTATACAAATCACTTGCTTCTTTCCATTTTCAAATGCCTCAGCTAGCTGAATGAAGGCACCCCTGTTATTACTTTTCTTCTCCACCAAGAAACTTTTTCTGCCACAAGCCAACTCTCCTTTCCATCCAGGCTCTGTAATCACAAAGATTGTACCAAGAAAACCTTTGAACCAGCAAATCGCCTCCCTCCCCAAAACTACTAATGCTCTCTTATCTTCTCTGATTTTAATCGCTGATCTTTTCCATGACCATTATCTTCCTCCACTTTGTTGCCGGCAGAAACCTTTCCTTTGCCTTCATGGTTGTAACTTTTAATCTTTTCTGTTAATTCTCTAGATTTTTACTTAAGTTACGTTCTTATGAGGGATCATGCAGTTGCAGCTCTTAGTTGGGTTTTAGGATTTCATTATTTTAAAGAAGATATTGTCAAAGCATTGTAAAATGCCATTTTATTCTATTTTTTGATTGGAAACTGTAATTTCCATTCAATATTTATTTAATAAAATAATTACACAACTCGTTTGAGGAGTGCTGACCCAACATAGCACATAGGAATCCGCTATTTCAATATAGCCCAAGAAAATTCTCCCCTCATTGACCCTTGTTTTGCTAGTCCATCAGCCAAACCATTGGCTGACCTAAACCATCTAATATTTCTCTCATGATTTGCCTAAGGGTCCAGATTCCTAGATTACTCACCTGCATCCATCCTATTACCATCCTTGAGTCCCATTCTGTTTCAATCTGATGGAGGCCCAATTGTTTAGCCAATCTCAAACCTTACAGTATAGCTAATACCTCAGCTCTTAACAAGTCGCCCACCCTATAGGCCCCAAGTATAGAGCCAGGATTCTTCCATCTCCATCTCTTAAATCTCCCTCTAAACCCGATGGCCCCGGATTACCAAGTGAAACTCCCATCAAGATTCAGCTTTATCCTTTGCTGTGTAGAAGGTGCCCAACTTTCATGGACTGTAGGTTTAGATTTTGAAAAATTTGTGATTGCATTCCATCTCCTAATTATATCATCAACTGAGAACTCCTTGAACAAATCAATTGCTTTTACCCAACGTGCCATGTTGATGGTAATGCAGTCGATCAATTCCTCTGTTTTCCTTTCCCTTGAAAAATCTTGTTGTTTCTTTCTTCCCAAACTGCCTATAATATTGCTGCTCTTGTGTCTCTCCATTAAGTTCTTCCCTTTTCTTCAGTTGTCTAAAAATGCTTGCTTAAAAGAGGGCTTTTACATTAGGAGTCCACCTCCAACCAAAGTGAGATGTTTTATTCTTGAGTTGAAGTTTTTCTTTTTAGTTTATTTTCTTTGAGAAATCTTTGCTTGCTTAGTTTAGCATACATTAGTGGGTTTTCCTTTTGTTTTGCTTTTAGAACATAGGCTTCAATTGTGGTTGAGGTAATTTGCATCATCTTCAACTTTATATCACAGGGTAAATTATCTCATTACATTTCATAATCTAGTAAACTCAAGTGTTAAATTAAATTGAATTATCAAAACAAGTGTTAAATTGAATTGTGATTGGAGTCAATTTTGAATTGAAGAGATTTCTATGTAGTTTCAAATATTATTGAATTTTCAGTTTCCAATAACTAATCTAAGAATGTCATGAAGGAATGGAAAAGTTACAATAGGTTCTCTTTCATTGTCTTTACCAGTTTCTCTTTATCTCCAAATCTCTGTCTTTGAGTAGATATGAATTTTATCTTTCTTTATGAAAAAGGTTTCAACTTTTTCTATAATCAATATCCCTAAGGAACAACAAGCTGCCTTTTTGATTGACTATGCTTTCCTCACAGCACTTGTAGCTCCCTCAGATAACAAAAAGCCTGAGCACAAAGAAGATGGACTTCCTGTTGACATAAAGCTACCTGTCAAGCATGTATTGTCCAGGGAGCTTCAGGTAAATGTTTTATTTGATTTTTTTTTTTTTTTTACTTCATTTGTTTTCATCTAGTTACTTATTCAAGTTCCTTCATGATCACCTATGCAGCTGTACTTTGATAAAATCACCGAGCTTACTGTTAATAAATCTGATTCAGTCCTATTTAAAGAAGCATTACAGAGTTTGGCTACAGATTCAGGACTTCATCCTTTAGTTCCATATTTTACATACTTCGTTGCTGATGAGGTTTGTAATTCCAATATTGGTAGTATATTTGCTGAAAAAAGACCTGTTGCTCATACTGATTTGTATCTTTGACAATTTCAGGTTACACGTGGTTTGAATGATTTCTCTCTCCTGTTTGCTTTGATGCGCGTTGTCCGGAGCCTTCTCCAGAATCCCCATATACACATTGAACCTTATGTAAGTTTCATATTGGTTTATAGGGATCATATATGTGAATTCACTTGCATGTAGAACCTTGTGTGAACTTATCATATGCTTGATGAGCCAACATGATTAGTTATGGTTTGCTGGAATAGCGCAAGAGTTTCATAGCATGTGGCACTGAGGTGGCCATGGATGAAAAAAATACAATTCTAGTAAGAAGTAGGGGTGAGCATTTGGTTAAAAACTGAATTTTTTTAAAACCGAAATAAAAAAATGGGAACCGAAACCGAAACCGAAACCAAATTACAATAAAACCAAAATAACCGAACTGAAATTTTTGGTTCAGTTTTCGGTTATTTCAGTTAAAAACCGAATTTAATTAATATATAATATTATATATTATAACCTATAATATATATATTATAATATATATTATGAAATTTAATTTCATTATAATACATTAATATATAAATATATGGCATATTATATATTAAGTATTAAATATTGTATATTGTATATTATATATTATATATTATATATTTTATATTATATAATGAATTTTAGTTAATTTATTTATTTTTTCGGTTAATCAAATTTCTAAATCTGAAAACCGAAATTGCTAAAAATCGTATTAAATGAACTGAATTACCCAAAAACCAAAAAAACTGAAACCAAAATTTTCGGTTCGGTAATTCGGTTTTAACCAAATAATGCTCACCCCTAGTAAGAAGAAACTAGGAATACGGTTCTAATGGCCGCTGTTGCATGTCATCAGCTGTTCACCTCTGGATAGGAGATAACTAACTGTTTTGAGGAGAGGAAGACAACAAGGCTGAGAGATAGTGAAACTTGGCATTCTTGTAGGAGTATGAGGTGCTGACCTTTGATACTGTTGGGAATTGTTACTGCCATTTTAAGTGGTTGAGATCATCTTATCTAGAGTCTAGACAGTCGAAAAGTGGGAATTATATGGTGCACCAATCACTTAGGACTGCAAACTTATCAAGTTCGAATCGGATATACCTAGGTCCAAAATTGGTTCAGTAGCATTTTTGCCAAAATGTTATCAGGGGGGAATATTGAGAATTTCCTGGTTGATAAAATTTGGAGCCAGATTCCCCCTCATAAAATAAATGCTTTACTTTGGGCTGTGGCCTTGTATAGAAACCTCACTAAGCAGAATCTGGTCAGAAGGGGAATGCAAACTCAAAATCTGGTATGTGTGCTTTGTGGTCAAAATGAAGAGGATAACAATCATCTCTTTATCCATTGTCCTGTTTCAGCAGCCTTGTGGGGTCATTTCCTTTCTTCTGTGCGCCTTTCCTGGATTGTGCCGAGTATGGTGATGGATCTGTTAAGAAGCTGGGAGCTTCAAGGCCTCTCCTAGTTGGCAAAAAGTGTGTGGTTGGCTATTCCTGAAGCAGTGATCAGCACCATCTGGGCAGAAAGAAACAGAAGAATTTTTCAAAACAAGTCAAAAGGATGTAGACAGTCTTTTATCTTGTAGTGTGGGGAAATTAGTGTCTTGGATTGCAGCCGTGAAAGGTCTCCAATCCAGGGCTCTTGGAGCACTGAGGTCTAGAAGTTTGTTTGAGTTGTAATTTAGTGTTGGGGTTTGTTCTCTGTAAGCTTGCTCTGTTTCTGGAGCCCCTCTGTAATCTGTGATGCTTTAATAAATTTACCTTCTTTCAAAAAAAAAAAAAAAGAATCAAATCTTATCCATTGGGTTTAGATCAGTGATTTAAAAGGCACGCACAGGCGAGGCGCATTTTGGGGTATGCGCCTCGCCCAGGTCCTAGGCGCACCCCTTTCAAAAGGTGCACGCCTGGTGTGCCTAGCGCCTCAGCCCAGGCATGCGCCTTTTTAAAATTTTGTGCTTTTTGCCTTTTTTTGAGTCTAACGGCTGGGCCGGGGGCGCCCGACCACGCCCCTCGAGGCAAGCCCGAACAAGTCTAGGTTAGGGTCTGAAATTCTTATTTTCCACATGAAAAATAATGATTTTATAACTTTAATTGCCTTTTAAGAAGATATTTTATTGGAATGAATGAATGAACAACATCAGCAAATAGGGGGTTCTGTAAGACTCAAAAAAAATATTTGAATCAAATCTTATCCATTGGGTTTAGATTGGATTTGAATCGGATTTGGATATTGAATAAACTGAAAATAGTCAAAATATTATTTTATTATTATGAATAAAATGAATTGAAAATAACTTATATGGTTCTATAAGACTTTAGTCTTTGGCTTTTTAGCAAATAGAAAAACACTCGCACCAACTTTTCTAATAGATACAGTAAACTTTATTTACATATAAGCATAGACACACACACACACACATTCTGGTTGCATCATACTCGACAATTTAGGGGTGGATCCATAGTCGTCCACATATAAATGGATTGAATTTGGATCACCCTTAGATGGATCAGATTTGCATTAAATTTGGACAAATGCATGCTGTTTGCAGCCCTACTGTTACCATCAGTCTACCTACAATCTGATACCTATCTCATTAGGATGTAAGCAAAGGCACTGCCAATGGTATGGCTGTTACCTTATATGCTTTGGCAGTTGACATTGGTTGGTTCCGGTCTTGGTGAAGAGATTGGTTCTGCCAATTATGTGCCTCTAAATCTTCCTGTACTTATGCTAATATTCTTGTTTTGATTTAATTTTTCAAAAAAAGTATTTTTGTTCTGATTTAATTTGTCTAAGGGTCTATTCTATGTAATGGAGCATTGTTTTTCTGTTCAGCTACACCAATTGATGCCATCTGTCATTACCTGCCTTGTTGCCAAAAGGTTGGGGAATAGGTTTTCTGACAATCACTGGGAACTTAGAAACTTCACAGCTGACCTGGTTGCTTCAATATGCAAGAGGTGAGATATTGTCTTGTCTTATTGTAATATGCATATATATGGTATACACATACTCACATATTTACGTACATATGTATGTGTTTATGCAGATAAGATTAAATATAGAATGGGTTGGAGACCTCTCTAACACTAAGTTTCATTTTTTTCTTCTGCTTTTCCCTGACCCATTTTGACTCTCTATTCCAATTCTAGTGTATTTGATCTCAATGGTATTAATGCCAACACTGGTCCAGGGCATTTGGTGTTGCTGCTTTAATTTGATATTTCTGCAACTGCATGTAATAGTTGTCAAGGCAACGCTGAGGCTGGCACCTAGGCGACAAGGCACCCTTGGAGTTTTGTACATTGTGTTATAAAATACTTTTATATTCTTATTTTTTTGAAATTATAATTATAAAATAGACATTATTAAACTAAAATATTCATTTTGTGTGCTTATATACTAATTTCCTTTTATTATTTTCTTATTTTGTTAGGGTTTAATCAACACCAACATTGCTAAATGCTGTATTTTCTTCTTTTTCTTCTTTTCCTATAACAAAATAGGGGTTCGGCCCCCATATTATTTATTTATTTTTTCTTTCTTCTTTTTCTTATGAACATATTGATTTTCTATACTTCAACATGAAGTTTATACTTTTCTTATGAAAATTATGGATAATTATTAAGGAAATTTGGTTCTGGAACCTGGGCAACTACCTTAGGGCATCTATTTTTTACTTGCAGAAATCCATTGCCTAGGCGACTAGGCGACAAAGTGATCCCCTGTTGCCTAGCCTTGCCTTGGCACCTTGAAAACTATGCTGCATGTATGTCCAACATATTCTTCACCACACGGTGACCGATATTGCATGGTACATAATTTCATTTATATAGAAGTTATTTTTTAAGCTAGGCCTGATATAGAAGACAGATCAGCTATAAAGGGGTGATAATATGGCCCTCAATGCCTATAGAATCCTCAGAGTTGTACCAAAGTATTGTACTGCCAAAAAGGCATGCTAAGTACCCAGTGCTGAAAGAAAGGGAAGCTGGAGGTTGTTCAGAGTGAACAAAGAAGCCTGGAAACAATTCAGCAAAGTCTCAGCCTTTTTTTATGTATGCCGCTCTCTATAGTCTATACCCACTTCTTACTCTTGCATTTATATGGGCAGGCATATACACCTTGGGAATGGTGTAGGAGCAACACCTATGCATACAGTGTGCTTGCTCCTGTGACCTGCCTCGGCAAGATAATGGTGGAGATTTAACTAGTTACTTTTAGGCCGCTGATAGGAAAGCATTTTAATCACATGACTGGAAGGAGGTTGTCCTGTTTTGATGCAGTGAAAGCTCATTCATCATGGATTGACTTTGGTCAGAGCCTAGATGCGACAGACCTCCCCAGCTCATAATAAACCTTTTGTCAAATTGGTTGTCCCTCTGCAGTTTTTTCTTGTACCAGCTTGTCTGTCAACTTTACCATGCCCAATCTGACTTCTGTATTTTTAAAAGGGGCAGGTATCTTTTTCTGATTCTAAGTTATGTTACCTATACATGGCAAGAACACAGCTGGACATGTTGGATACAGAATTTGCACTAAAAATTGACATATCCAACACCACACAGCACCCTTATATACAGGTATTTGGGTATCATAGATTCTAAGGGTGCTTAGTTTCAGAACACCAAATTCTATCTTTATGTGCTTTAATTTTCAACCCCTTGAATGTGTCGAAGGCAGAGCATCTCAATATAGATGTCCTCATTCTCAAGGGTGGATATAGAAGCATGCCTGAGGCAAGCCTGAGGTGATACCATCTGAAAACAGACATCTCTGTTCTTGGAGCCAGATCAGAGATGTCTGTGTTCAGATGTAGATCTAGATTAGGTTATGCATTTATTAATGCATGCGTGCACAATTCTTTGAAGTATAAGGGGAAAAAAAGAAATACCACACACACACACAAAAACACATATAGTGACTGGTACATGAAATATTTTCAATGAAACCCCCATGTTTCGTACCTTTGTCTAGAACTTTAGATTCAAATGCATAGGACCATCTCTTGAAAACCAGCATTCCATTTCTTTTACTAAAAAACAGTGACTGCCACTCTGATGTTGATATTGCAAAATTTGGTTTCATTGTCAACATTTTAAAATATTCAAAGCTTTTGCAGATTTGGGCATGTTTACCACAATCTGCAGCCACGTGTGACCAGGACTCTGCTTCATGCCTTTTTGGACCCAACAAAAGCATTGACTCAACATTATGGTGCCATTCAAGGGCTCGCAGCACTTGGACCAAGTGTGGTATTTTCTTTTCTCATGCTTACATCAGTAAAGAAAGGGCAAAGTGTTCATGGAATATAATATTGATATTAATAATAACAACAATAACAAAAAATGTATTCTGAAAAGTAGCTATGTAATGTGCAAATAAAGTGTAACTATACTGGAGTTGGATTCCGGGGGGAGGGGGGATCTGATGTGTAGTGATTAATGTAGATAGTGCAAACCATTCTACTTTTGTATTATTTATTTATTTTTTCTGAAAAAGTGAAGCCATTGAAGCTTGTTTTATCCTGCAAGCTACTATATAGTTTTTTAACACTTATTTTCTCTAAAGGATTTGAGAACAAACCAACGCATTCCACAACCCCATTTGATGTGGAGGAAAAAGAATTAATTTAGCTGCAAACACAAAATCATTTACTATGTTTTAAATTCCTTCTAACTTCCCATTTTTTTGCCTTTTATTATGTCCTTTGTTCTACACAAGGATTTTTCAGTTTCTCAGATAAAAAGGCCAATTGTCTAATGTTGGTCCCAGCTATCTGGGGTCTTGGGAGGGGTGGACTGGATATGGTCCTAACCTTTGGCATTTTTTTTTTCACAAAGTGTCCGCTCTCAGACTTGAACCTGTGTGTTCTCATGCTTGGCAACTGAGATATTACCTAGAGAAAATAAATAATGGCCCCCAGTTTCTGAGTTGTTTTGTCTTATGCATTGGACCCGTGGGAACATGAAAAACGCGGCAATTTAGTACCCGAACTTTTAAAATGTGCCAATCTAGTACTTGCCATTAACCAGCCCGTTAACCAGCTGTTAAGTTCCATTTGAAAAGACATACCCTTCGAGTGCCATCTAATTCTCTTTATCAACTATCCAAACATTGACAAAAAATGAACAGTCCCATCTGTTCAAGAAAGTTGGGGTCACCAGAATGCCCACTGAGACGTAAACCCAACTTTCTTGAATAGAAGAGGCAAGGATTTGAGACTGTTCATTTTTATCAACATGTGGATGGTTGATAAAGAAAATACACTCAAAGGGCATTTGTGTCTTTTCAAATGCCACTTAATGGCTGGTTAATGGATTGGTTAACGTCTTAACGACGGGTACTGGATTGACACATTTTGAAAGTTCAGATACTGAATTGTCACGTTTTAAAGTTTGGGGACCAAAGTGGCACTAGGCTCAAAGTAAAGGGTTCTAATCAGGAATTTTCCCAAAAAATATCTCAGTTTAGATTCTACCTATATCATCTCTTGGTTCAGCTGGTACTAATGTACAATTGTTGTAATCTTAGTTTAGATTCTACCTATTATGTTAGATATAATATACTTCTGTTTTTCCAATTTCAGCAACATCGGTTTTTGGTCCTTGTTAGGTTGGCTGTTTTTTCTTTTGTGTAATAGCTGTTTCTCAAACCCCCAAGTCTTAGTATAGTGTTTTCTCTTTTTTCTTTTTCCTTGACCTCGTAGTATTTCAGATATCACATCCAGTTCTTTTTCTTCTTAGAGTTTGAGTGATTTATGGAATCTATTGTGTTTGAATAGGTACGCCTCCTATTACTGCCAAATCTAGAGCCATATCTACAACTTCTAGAGCCAGAAATTCTACTTGAGAAACAAAAGAATGAGATGAAGAGGCATGAAGCTTGGCGTGTCTATGGGGCCCTGCAGGTTAGTTTCTTTCATAACCTTATTTTTGTATTGTATGGTAGTGTCAAGGAGTCTCACCATGGCTTTATATTGGATAGTAACTAGGACATGCCCCTTGCAGTGTGCAGCAGGTAAATGCATGTATGACCGTCTCAAGATGTTCCCAGGTTTGCTGGCTCCACCTGCACGTGCAGTCTCAAGGACCAATGGAAGAGTCATAATGACAACGCCAAGTATGATTTCAGTGGAATTTCATTGTTTTAGAGTAACCCCACTATTTTCTTAATCATATAGAAGAATCACATCTTTATATATAAGAAGCAGCATACATGCCCTGACATACATGACAGGAGGTGGTGTTTTGCATATGTTATAACTAAACAGCCTCATCTGTCCTTTATTGAATGCTAGAACACCTTCAATTGGTCACATTTAATGGAATATAAATTGCTTCTCAATTTTTTTTTTTTTTGCTTTCTTTAGAGTTTCATGAAACATCTTGAGATCTTTTGGTATTCAAGTGAAATACAGCCATTAAATTGAAGTATTAACTGGGTAATCAGGATAACTTTGAGTCTTTGACTGTTGAATAGCATGTCAAGATCCATTTGATAGATGGGTAGCATATTGATGTGTCAATTCTTTAGTGGACATGCATGGCATTGTATGTTTCTGCTGTAATTGAACTTATGGCTACCCCTCATGGTCACGTTGTTCTCTAATGTTTTGTTTCAATTCAATGAAGACAAACGCAAGGCAGGAAAGGATGACATGATGCAGCAACCACCCGTCAAGAAAATCGCAACAGATGGGCCAATGGGCATTGTACCTCCAATCTCCTTGCCGGCAAACATGCAAGGGACCGTTGATGGATTTCCTGCTGCTTCAGGGCAGTCCAATTTGGGGCCATCATCATCTGTACAAGTCACAAACGATAGCATTTCAGGCAGCAGCGGTAAGAGGGAGGACGATGGCCGAGCAGCCAAGATGTTAACTGTCCTCAGTCAGGCTTGGAAGGAGGATGTGGATGCTGGACATCTGCTGGCTTCTCTTTTTGAGCTATTTGGCGAGAGCATGTTCTCCTTCACTCCTAGACCTGAGTTGTCTTTCTTCTTGTGATCAAATAAATATGGGTTGGATTTTTGTAAATGATCAGTTAAATATGCTAAATTTCAAGCTCTCTTATGTATTTTGTTGACGTTCTTGCTTGTAATTCACAAATACGTGAGAAGGTATATTCGACAGTTTACTCTGCAAAATGGTTAATTTTGGCTGGACCGGCTGTTGGTCTGTTTTGTTACCCAAGGCTGGCAAGCTCGATTTGACAAGATCTGAGAATCTCAATGCAACCACTGTGCAACAATCCTATAGAAAAAAAAAATCAATGAACTCGTAAAACAACTTATAAATATGAAACGGGTGATTTGTTGGTATGCTAGCTGGTTTGTTCCAGCATTGATGCGGAATTGATTCCCACAATCACCGATTTGGGACGTGGCACTAAATACCTAAAAAGAATACATCCACTGTTACAAAAGGTTTTAGGGAGGGGGGGTGTTATGTTTTAGGGACTAATTTGAAACCTGTCTCATGACCAAAATTTGAAGTCTGTTATCCCCACTGATAACTGATATAAGGCAAAACCTTGACTGCTAGCGGGCTTCGCAAGGCCTCAACGGTAATGAATTAATTCAGATGGAACCTGGGTCCAATTCCAACCTACTTATTTCATTATTTGCATAGAAACTAATAAATTATGGGTTAATGCGCATTTTTATGTAGTATTGAATGGCCATAAAAAATGTACTTACGAATTTTGACATCTTTATAATGACGCTACAGATTTTACTTGATAGGGAAACCAAACAATTTAGGTGGTCTGGTTAATTTTTTAAAGCAGTTTCTAATTGGAAATTTGGAATATAATAAATTGGTTAAAGTAACATCCTGATCGTAACATTTGACACAACCAGCCCAAGTCTTTCCCCTCGTGATTCGTGAACCATTCCCCCCCACCCCCCACTCCCCACTCCCCACCCACAAAAAAACAAACAAATTAGTAAATAAAGAATGACACAAACACACAGTTGTTGCTACGCCAGTAAGTGATGTGAAACGAACCTTGCTCTATCTATTTTTTATCAGACGAACCTTGATCTATTTACAAACCACCTTTTAGTACAACATAATTTTATGATGGCATACATAATCATATTGCGTACAAAGAGGGAATATGCTCTCTAGTGCAAGAAATAAGAATCCCATTCTCGGTTATGCCAAAATTAATTTGGAAGGGCACATGTTAAGCTGCGGGGGCCCACCCCCTGGTCGGCTTCTTATCTTCCAAAGACAGCTGAGAGGGTCCAAAGGAAATTTGGTTTCTTCTGATGCTGCCTACTGCTCTATCTCTTCGTTTCCTTACTCAAGTTGGATTTCTAAAAAAAGGGTGGTTAAGGGCTTCTCGAGCTGTTAGTCGTTCTGATGGCTCAAATTTTAGCAGGCCATGTAGTAAATCTGTTAAGGAGGCACTTGAAGATTCAACATGTTGTGAGACCAGATTCTGCAATGATAAATGTAAGTTGTTAAACGAAAACTATAGATAAGCCAACATTTTAAATCCTTCAATGGGAAAAATTTTTGGCTGTCTAAGCTCAACAGCCTGGGCTGTCAACAAGGGTTTCCCCAGCAATGACAACCAGAGTTTTCTGCCTTTAATGAGGTGAAAACTTCTGATGTTAATGCAGAATAAAGCAAGTGCCTATCCAAAATAGAGAGGGGGGGAACAAACCTTCAGACGGTCAAGTTTCTTCACTGCCCTAATACTTTCTCTTGAAACAGCTCCTTCAGGCCAATTTAACCTTGCTCGTCTGAAATACTTCTCAGCACCACGGCTGCAGAAATAAGGTGGATATTTATGTCTCAAACCATTACCGCTAAAAAACTACAAACTAACAATTTCGGATGATATAGAATGCAGACACTCACTTGGCTTTCCGAATCATATGCTCTGGCAATGGTCCCAATACTCTCTCCATCATCGCTAAATGCTCCAAGTTCTCATGGGTCTGAAACAATGCTTCACCCTGAAACAATATTTAGAATAATTTCAAACCAATGATTTCCTACACCCAATCAAGCTGCAACATGAATTTCTAGAAGATTTAGATGGCTAACCGAACAAAGTTCAACAAGTATGCAACCAATACTCCACAGATCACAAGGATAAGTCCATCCTAAACCTGCAACCAAATATGCATATGATGAGATGATGAGTGAAGTAAAAAGGTACCAGCTACATCAAAAAAGACATTAGCTCCACAGACGATACAAATGTAGAGAAGCATTTTAGTTGCCAAGACATTTCTAAACAGAGATTCGATTATCTTGAATTAGAGTTCAGTTTTCTGTTGTGTTAAAATCAGGTCTAGGATTTTTGGATAGTATCACTCCCCAAGAGTTCCATCCATAAAATTTGGTCCCTTGATGTGGTGATAATGTTAGGGCTTTCTTCCTCCCTAATGAAAGTATGCCATTGGATTCTAAAGGTACTATTCTAAAATATTGCATTCTACAGTAATCCATAACGCTAATAGCCTAGCTCAGATGTATGGGTGGGTGACTATTCTTTAAAGACCTTGTTCCCATCAATTTATGCCCTGTCTTGCCTTAAGGGTAAACCGGTTGCTGATTTCCTGTCCCCTTCTCCTTCACAGACTGGTTTTGCTTGGAATCTGGGTCTACGCAGAAATGTGAGAAATTCTGAGTTGGATTTGGTGTCTTCTATTGTTCAGTTGCTTGACGGGGTATTCATTGATCCTGCCAAGCCAGATACTAGAATCTGGGCTCGTAATCCCCTTGAAGCGTTCAGTTGTGCGTCCTTTTTCAAAACTTTGACCTCTAATCACCCTGGTGAAACTGCTTTTCATATATTTGTTTCCTGTCCTGTAGCTAGCAGCATTTGGGATTGTTTTTTTTTTATTTTTTTCTCTTTGGATGCAGGTGGGATACCCCGGTGAGCTTGGGAAGACTGTTTGAAGCCTCCACCTTCAGATGGCCAAAAAGAAGAGGAAGAACTTAATGGAGATGCACACAGGCAGCAGTACTGTGGATGATATGGGAGGAAAGAAATCAGAGAATTTTTGAAGGGAAGAAAAGGTGTAAGGAATTGCTGATAGAAGGGATTATGATAAAAGTAATCTCATGGGTGAAATCTATGGATTTATTTTCAGACTTTACTATGGATGACATAATCAGGAACTGGAGGACTGTAGCATCCTCGTCAGCTGCAAAAAAGGTTTTAAGAAGTTGGGATCCTCCTGAATCTGGATTCCTCGAATTAAACTTTGATGGGAGCAGTTTTAGCAACCCGGGTGTGGCTGGAATTGATGGGGTCATATGAGATGACAGGGGGACAATAGTGGGGCTGTACTCAGGCCCGATTGGTTGGGGTGACTCCATTACAGCTGAACTAAAAACAGTGGTCTTCGGAATACAAAAAGCCATGGAAATAGGGGTGAGAAAGTTGGTTTTAGAAGGCGATTCCAAAGTAGTTATAAGCTGGCTAAAGCAAGATGGGAAGACCCCATGGGTATTCAGAAATGGATTTGCAAATATTATCAGTGGACTCTAAGAGCAGCAAATGGATTTGCAAACCAGCTAGTGAAGCAAGGGGCTAATAGGGAACATTGGCTTTGGGCTCAGGTGTAAGGATGTAAAGCAAATCCTAGGTGGAATTTCAAAGGTTATTGGGGTAGCCGAGGCTACTCATTCTCTGTACTAAATCTATTATCATCTTCTTAATAAAATCACTTTTACTGAAAAAAAAATAGCCTAGCTCAGATGCATTGTTACCTTGGTACATGGCATAATTGCCAAGTACCCGGGTACCAATAGTTGTCCGACATGTCAACCTCCAAAAGTAGTTAATTGCACAAATAATTAAAAAATGTAGTAGATGTTGAAGCATGGATTTATTATGTATCCTTTGTAAGTTTTTTTTTTTTTTTTTGATAATTGAAGAACAAGACCCCTGAAGGTTAATAACAGATAAAAAGGAAACCTCACAAAACTCCCTCACATGACAATGAATGTCCAGCAACCAAATGGTTGTGTTCAAGACATGTAATAAACTTCTGCGTACACAAACAAAAAACAAATCTAATGTTTATAACTTGGTTTACTAAAATGATAATTATAACGTCAAGAACCAATCTAAAAAAAGGAAGATAGGTATAAGATTGTAGTGTACAGATACAAAGCACTCTGAAGTGGCCAAATGTGAAATCTGTCAGGAATATGGAGGTAAGAAAGGTTTCCGAATTCTAAGAATAGAAACATAAGTGGAATTGTAGACGTATGGGGATTGATTATTTTGCAAATACGAGGTAAGAGAAAAAATAATTGCTATTCTCCAAAGCAACCAGAGATAATGCTGGCTTGTTCATTAGCTAGCAAGACAAAATATAATTTAGAACCAAAAGGAATTCCTTGGGGGAAAATACCACAACCATTTGGGATAAATAGAGAGGAGTTTTGGGCTTGTTTTGTTCTCTTTTTGATTCCCTTCACTATTTTTCTATCCTAACCATTCTCCATCCATTTTTTGGGTGACAATTGTACTCTTTAGTTAATCTTATTAATGAAAGTTACCGTTTCTTATAAAAAAAAGAACCCCACAACTATTTGAGATCAATTCCTGTTTCCAGGTTTGCAAGTGCAAGAAAAGGCTACCAAAATCACCAAAGTTCACTGTTCACCATTTCCTTGACAAATTGCACTAAACTAGACTAATGAAGTAGAGAAGAAGATTATGACATAAGACTAAAAGCTGAAACTATAGAAGAGGGGAGAGAGGGAAACTAAAATGAAAGCTGCCTGTAGCTCTACTCTACATTGATTTGAGAATTCATTAATCAAGTAGCGAATTTTCCCCTTCAGGGAACATCTCATACAAATGCAAATAAAAGAAGTACTATATTTCACATCTACAGTAACTGGTTTACCTAAAATGACTTCTGGTGCTCGGTAATGCCTTGTAGAAACAATGGAGCTATGATCCTGATTGTCAAAGGTAGTACTACCAAAATCAATCAGCTTTATGGCACTTGACTTTGGCAAGCACCTGAAATTCACCTCATCTGAAGAATTCTTCTGTACCATTCCAAGCATTTACTCAACATAATTACCAAGTCTAGATACCCGATACCTGAAATGGCACTATTTCCAAATAATTGTGGAAAAGGCAAGATACCTTATACCCTGGCAGCTTTACATACTCAGAAGACACAAGAAGTACATTTTCTGGCTTCAGGTCAGTGTGAATTAGACGTAAATCATGCATATCTGTCAGATGTTATAAAGCATAACAACTGAATTAAAAAAATGTACACATTAAAAAAAAAAAGAAAAGGTGTCTGGGCCCTGGACAATCAAAACAGAACAAAACAAAGCTTGGGACAATGGTTAGGATAGAAAAATAGTGAAGGGAATCAAAAAGAGAAGGCCAAATATAATCCACACACATGCTACAGACTCCAAAAGCTGACGTCCGAACTCCCGGACAAGATCCACAGGAAATGGGCAGTATTTATTTCTCCGTAGAAAATCAAACAAACTTGGTCCAAGCCTCTCAAACACCTGGTAACACCATTGAAGTTCATTTAAAGAAATGTTTCAATATCAAGTTTTCCAGTATCACAAATTAAGTCCATAGGGGCAAATGAAATCAAACCAAGCATTAAGCTTTATTATCCATTCATTATAAAGAATGTACGCAACATAAAATGGTTATAGCATCCACAGTTACTTTTTATGAAAGTTGAAATGAAATATGCATTCCAGTGTTCCCATGGGAGGGAGAAATACTAAAAAGATTAACAATCTATATTTGGGGGGATTCAAGTCATATTGCCCTAGCCAATGGGCATATGGAGAGTTTAACTGAAAGCACACCATATTTCATTAGCCTACCATCGTAGGATGCGCCATGAGTTCCCAAACATGATGGTCAGAAGTTCATAGATTGGTAAGCATCTTGCATAAACTAATGGGAACTGGGAAATTCATTGAATGAAGATTTACCTAAAGCTTTGGAAGATGCTTGCTATGGAAGGTAAGGACAAGTGCAACTTTTATTGGGGGTTGTCTCTTTCTCATTGATGCTGGGGTTGGGATTGATATTATAGCAGTAGTATCTTTGAAAACAATTACAATTACAACGATCAGTGGAACACATAGATCTTTAAAAACCCAAAGGTAGAAAGGATGTGATGATTATGAAAATTGAGTCTTATCGGTCCAATGTAGATGGTAACACTCAGCCACCACTTAAGAACTTTAAATAGGAATAACAAACACTATTTTCTAAACTGCAACAGAGAGAATATAACTAAAACAAAGGCATGGAGTAAGTACTTACAATACATATGTGATTGCGATAGTCAAACCAGTCTCGAATCTGCACACAGCTGCACAATAAGAAAAAAAAATTATAAGTATAACAGTTGGAAGTTGGAACAGTAGCAGATTTTATTTGAAATGCAAACACAATATATATGCATACCAGGAGCCACCTCTATCATTCTTAGCTAGATGCTGAAGCACATCGATTTCAATTTTTGCTGCTTCACGGTATTTTCTTAGGCTTCGGACTACTTTGATTGCCACATACTCTCGTGTTTGACGATCCCAACATTCCAAAACACGGCCAAATGTGCCTACAGTACTAGAAATTTTCTGACATGGACATAACCATAATCATAAAGAAAAGATCTAGAAGACAGCACGACACTTGATAGCTAACCTTCACCCATCTTGCTAAGGATTTTATCTGCAAAACAGTAGAAAGAAAAACCAACTATAGTTAGAAAAAGAAATCCAAAATCCCTAAACCATGGCTTCTTAGCATGAGATTATGAGAAGGAATCATCATCCATGATCCAATTATTAATATATGAAGAAATGAAAAGTCACCCAACCAAAACCAGCAATAACTAAAATTTTGTCATATATTAACACCTAAAACAAACAAACAATGATCTAAATTTTGTAATTGAATGCATTTAAGAGGAGAGCACTCAACAAGTGATTTGGGAAACAGAAAAATACTGTGCACATAACTCTTAAACTCAAAAGGCCACAAATTTACAGCAAAATTCAACTATATCCATAAAAGAGATACTAGAAAGGATTCTGAACTCTGTGTCAAGATGACTTCTTATACAAATAAACAATAACAGTTTAAACATATTTTTCCCCCAAAACACATAATTGGCTAACGGGATTCGAGCATAATCATAAAACGGAAATATTAACATAAGAGCTCAACTTCTAAAGCTAGAACCTAGTCAAGGTCCTAACCAAGAGCCATGAAAAGGAATCACGAAAGAAACAGAAAACAGAACAATGCGAAAGCAACGATCTTTGTTTGTTTGTTGTTTGTTTTTTGGATCAATAACAAATAACTTTCAATGCGAAAGCAACAATCTTCCATAATTCACTCAATTAAAGAGTCAATTCTAGCACCCGCAAATTCTTTCAACCCAAGAGAGAGTAGCCAAAAAGAATAAGATTATAAGATAGAGAAAATACAAAAAAAAAAGGAAATAAGATTTCGTGATAGTCTTTCTTACATCTTGGAGTCAGATTCTCCCCTAGATTGAACACATAATGCCCTTCCCGATCGTCCTCCCTCCACGGCGGCGACGCAGGGCGAACCAAAGTCCCTTTAGTGAAGGTCGGCAGCCGAGCAGCCTACACAGACGCAGCGAGCCATTTCCAAGCGGTGTCAGATTCCAAGACAGATAAAAACCCAAACTGTGCCTCACAGCGTCCATACAAACCCTAGCTTTATATTGTCTCTCATGGATGCCACCGGGCGCCCTTCGAAACCCTAACCCTAACTCAACTTCACACAGATCCAAACCAACCTCTGCTTCGGCAGGCGTAACATCCCACGCCAGGCGGGGGCGTTTTCTCGTTCGTTGTCTTTCCATCTCTTCCAATTCGATCGTCACCATAGACGACTCCGATCTTTCTCTTATCTCTGTATCTCCTCCCTCTGCAACAAAACGATCCCTACAAAAATCTCAAGAAAATATACAGTTTTTTGTTTTCTTTGTTTGTTTGTCGACAGAGAAGCGAAGAGAGATGGAGAGAGAAGCGCACAACACAAGAGAAAAGGCTAAAGCGAAGGGGTATGAGTCAGTGGGGGAACATCAATATTTATCGGAGACTGCTACCGAAACTCGAGTGGCGCTACCCTCAGGTCCGACCGATCATAAAGGATGAGATAAAAAAAAAGAAAAGGGACAAAACAGAATACACCAGTTACTCGTACATTCACCAAAACACCCACAACCTTCCTTCCTTATTACAAATAGACCTCTTAAGTCTTATGGAATGGTGACAATATAATTACTATTATACCCCCTATTATTTATTATTCTTTTCACTATAGTATAATCTCTTTCCTCTCCATACGAAGAAATTATCGATGGTTGTCACACTTCCCAATTACCACGATTCAAACCTTTTTCTATTTTCAAACCGTCCTTGAGTCGGAGGGTCTGACTGTTTGACCCGAAAATTGTTGAAACAATCCGTTTTATTTCGTCTTTCATTTTATATTTTGGCCAAAAATGTTAATTTGATAAGTGATCCGTTGACCCGAATGGTCGAATCTTCAAGTTTTGATCGCCTTTTATTTTAATTATTCATTTTAAATTGAAATGGGTTATCTGTTCCAACCGAAAGGTTAAACTGTTGAGTCAAAAACTAGTGAGTAAAGCGGTTCTATTTCCAATCGGATTTTAGGTTTTAAAACATTGCTTTTCAAGCCTAGCGGTATATTATTAAAACACCCCTTATATTTTACCATGTTAATTAAGATGCCCTTATAATTTGTATCTGTCTTACTTAAAGTTTTGCCCATCAAGATTCGTTTGCCTTTTTGTTTGGGAATAGTGAAAGGGCATGGTTCCACAACCTTTGATTACTACTTTGAAGAAGAAGAAGAAAAAGAAGAGATGATTACTACTTTGGTTCCTGTTCGAAAAGGTTGAATATGGTGAACAATGCCATGTGGTATTTTCGAGATCAAAAGTTGTGGAAATTCCCAAATAAAAAGACAAACAGAACTTGACAGGCAAAGCTTTAGGTAATACACACAAACTATAGAGGGTGTTTTAGTAAACGACCCTAGAAAAAAATTAGTATTCCATATACCAAACTCCACCCTTTCTTTGGGTTGTGTTTGGAAACGATGTAAAATGTCATCGATGTAAAAATTTATACCGGTTGGTTTTGTCAGAGTTTAGATGGAGTGTAAATCATGATCAAAATAAAAATCAACTCCAATTTAGATTTGTTGACATTTGTATGAAGTGGAGTTTTACATCGTAAATCGATGTAAAACTTCATCAAAAATAAAGTTTTACATTGATTATCGATATAAATACTATATCAATAAAATCGACGCAAAACCCTATGCTTTTCAAAGATCACCAATAACTTTTTTACGATTCAGTGTAAAACCTCATCGATGATGTTTTACATTGCTTAAAAATGCAGCCTTGACAAGTAAACACAATCTTTATTAATTAATAACAATAAGCATTACAAGTATCCCTTAGAAAAAATAAAATATCTCTTAGGGAGGTATGAGGTGCTACCTCTCCCAACAAAATGAAAAGTTATATGTTACATTAGAGTTCAATACATTTACCATCTCATCAGCTAATCTCTTCACCCACAGTATCTTCAAGCTCATATCTTTAGTGAGACATTTAATTTTCTTCATCTCATCCCTAAAATGCCAAATTATATACTTAGGTTCCTTCAGCATCTCACCACCAATTTTAAATCCCCACCAATTATCGCATTTAACATATTCAATTAATTTGCACTTCATACTCTTTATAATGCAGCAATCAATTCAACCTTAACAATGTCACCCATTCCTACTGAGCCTTAAAACAAACAATAACATGCCCTACTATATCTCTCATTATCTCTCCTATTCCAAAGGGCCAGGGTTACTTTGGTTATGGTTTAGTTGAAATTTAACTTCACTTATCCTTCAAGAGGAGGTAGCCACACTTTGTTTGCTATCTCCTTCTTAGAAGAGCATCAAGCCACCACCTCCCAATTTCTTCATATATTATCAAAAAGAGAATTGCAAGAAAGAGTCCATAGTTCTAATCTAGTAATATCACACTCACCATCATACAATCTTTCATCACTTCTTTGCTTCTCTCCTCTTTGATTATTTGTTGCGTTTCCTTTCGTCTTAAACAGTCTAAACCAAAGCTACCCTTACACATCTCCACATGACTCTTACTTTTTTTCTTAAGCAAAGTAAAAGTAGATCGATCAATAACATATTTACCTCTCTGTAATTCCACCTTCACCCAAATAAAGAGAAAAACTAAATAAATTACAAAACCCCCTGTACTATGGGGTATGTAACAAATACCCCTTGTACTTTGTTTTGCAACAAAGACCCCCTGTACTATGATCGTGAGACAAAGACCCCCTTCCATCTAGAAACGCCTTTACAATATTTTTTAATCTCTATACTACCCTTATAATAACTGTTTTGACAATGGAAAAAAACAGGAACAACAGCAGTGGTAATCCTTTCTACTTCAGACGCCAGAACCTCAGAAATCTGAAAAGGTCAAATGGCTTAATTCGTTGATTTCTGAGGTTCTGGCGTCTGCAGACGATCCCGTAGATGAAGAGGTTTCAGACATTGAGTGGTTCTTCCTTGTATCGATGACGCAGTTGTTCATCAACGGTGGTGGCCTTCTTGGTCAGGCTTTCTTCGCGTCGTCTTCGGTATGGCTTGCTGGGGATGAGAGGCTTGCAAGCTCGTCTTGTGAGGAGGCGAGACCAAAGCCTAAGTAAAGGAATGCGTACTACAAACTTCTTTCTTATGAATCAAAGAATGCAGGATATATCTAAGGTCCAGGTCCCCAGAACAGAGCAAAGAAATTTAGACAAAATCATTCTTTTTCTTTTTAAACAACTCATACAAGCCAAAAGAAATATGTAGAATGAACTGATTCCTAGCCTTTTGCAGTGATACATCGATCCGATCACTACCTAGAGGGGAAATTTGGTATTTTTGTTCTCAAATTATTCTGACAAAAATCTTCCCTGCTAAACTAAAGCAGTGAAGCCCACCCCCAAGAAAAGAATGCTGCTTTGCAGCTACATACAATTTTTCGTGTAAGAAAAAAAATTAAAATATTAAAAAAACATCAAAACCAGAACGAAATTAAAAAAGTAAAAAAACGAAAAGAAATTTTGAAAAAAATCTCATACCACTAGTACAATGCTATAAACAAAGAGAAACAGCAAGGGCGGTTCTTTGTACGCCAGTAACGGCTGCACCTGATAGGATCTCCTTGTGGAAACCTGGAGGAGAGGAGAGATGGGTTAGTGGGATCTCTAGAGAAGGTGAATTCTCTGGCGAAAACGAAATTTCTGGAGGTGCAGCTCCCACCCCTGGCATTGCCACTCCTCGTCGCCCCAAGGGCTTCCTTCCCAAAAATCGCTCTCAGCAATAAAACCTTCAAAACTGCAAAGATGGAAACTGGGTTTTGATAAAAAACTGTCTAGGTTACCGACGCCTGAACGATCCCCGTATCAATCGCCACCGACCCATTACCCTCGTAATATTCAATGTGAATGTCTCAGCACCCATGGTTTCCGTCGCTAAAGTAGGTTGCATATGATTCACAATCGACTCTAGCAAACCCAATGGATAGTAAGAATGTAGAACATGGAACTTCAAGACCACAAGGGGTGACTAGACAGTTTGGACAGAACAGAGGAAAATGGGAAGAAAAAAGGGGAGGAGAGAAAGGGGAAGGGGAACAAGAGAGATCAGGAGAGAGAGAGAAATGTGAAAGAATTTGAGGTAGAAGGGATTATCACAGTTGTTGTTCGTGTATCTGAGGTCGGAGAAGATGAACAGTGTTTTTCTCCCCGTTGTGAGAATAGTTATTATAAGGATAGTATGGGATTAAAAAATATTGTAACGGCGTTTTTGGACGAAAGGCTAACGGAAGGGGGTCTTTGTCTCATGATCATAGTACAGGGAGGTCTTTATAATTTACCCCAAATATTTATTACATATGAATAAGAGATTAAGTGTTAACATTTCTTACCATTGGATTTACACAAAATACACTAGTTTGCGCATACATATAGATAGGTTTTTCTTTTTTTTTTTTCACAAATCTAAAGTGTGAATCTTCTAGTGCCCAATAGAAGGCTTCTGTATTTTAGGTGGAACGCATCTACATTAAACCTCCTTGAAGGGAAAAACACATGAGAGGGAGAAGAAAGAAAGTGCAGGTGGAGATCCAAACATGTCTATCCACTTTAGAAGGGTCCAAGCACACATTGTCAAGGAGTTGTAATAGTCTAGTTAGAGAGGTTAGTTCAACATCCTTCATATCTCTTCACAAATCAAGATTCCCATTATGACCCATAGGAAGTAGAGGAGGGGAAATGAATTTTGATACACACTCAGGTATAAAGAATGAAAGAGTTTCTTAAGAGGAGGAAAATCAAGCCCAACATCCTCCCAAAACCAAATTGAATTCCTTGAATGGACATCATACCTAATGAAAATGAGAAAGTAAGGGAAGATACCATGAATAACCTTCTAAGGTGATGCCAAAGTAGCCTAATGTAATACACTTGCATCCTACTAGTACCCAATGTGCCATGGATGCTAGCCACAACCTCATGTCAAAGTCTCTCTCTCTCTCCCTCTCTCACCCTTAAAACAACTTCCCTAGCAAAATCAAATTCTTTTTATTTACATTACCAACACTTGATTCACCTTCTTATATACTTTTACATATTAGCTCCCATTTGACTAGATGATCTCTACTCAAGTTCTCATAAGAATCCTCAAGAGTTGTGACTTTCTATATATCTTTTATACCTCCTTTTGTGGAGTCCTAAATATCGAGATAATAAATCTCATTATCTCCCAATTTTATCCTTTGATTGCACTATTCTCCAAATTTACACAGATGCTGAAATCCAACTTGCCTATGTTGTTTGGAAAGTCAAGTTCACAATGACTATGTAAAAGAGCCTTCTTTTTTGGGGGGGGAGTAATTTGATCAATAAATACTTTAATATTGCATAGAAGACTATTATCTATTACAAGTTGAAAGAGCTAGAGGAGTGAGAGATATAAAAAAAAGGACTTAAATGGAAATAATAGAAATGATGATGACCA